TATTCCTAGCACGCTACCTCACGTGTGAAGAAACGGAAATTGAGAAGTTGAATGCTGACTTGTCTCCAAAACAGACGTGGATATCGTGCGAGACTTTAACCTTGAGTATTCTATGGCCTTTTACTTTACCTTATCCCTTGCCATTCGTGAATGGGTCTGCTTTTTGTCGAATATTTTGGATATTACCTACGAAATAAAGCATTTTTCTCTCTATCTCGGACCTCCTGGGAGACTTCAGAAGCTTCCAGAGACAATAATAGCCAACAGTATGCGGTAGGGTGCTTGAAAAAGCACCGCCTCTTTATATGTTACGGATCACATGCAAAAATAGGTAAAAGTAATGCGGCTCTAACCGAGTTGCCAGACCGTAGCATACTCTGTTGCTGAAAACGGCTGGATACTTATTGAATTTTAGCAATCACACGAATCTAAGTCAGGAAAACAAATGCCAGCAATAAGAATGAATGCTAATATTGGGACGGAATGGAGGTAACAGCAGCGTCATCCACCCGGCCCCGGCCACGCACGCGATCAACATCAAAATTGATGCTTGATGACAACGATGAACAAACTCGCAATCTGCCCCTTGGAAAACACAAGCTACACATAATCTACGTTATTCTCTAACGATGCCATAAATTGACTTCCTAAAGCAAACACCAGTGACAGACGACGATCTGGCTCCTTGCCTCCATAGGACAGTCAAGGCAGTGCAATAGCTGTCCAGTGAAAAAAAAAACATGTTTGAAATTTTAAAACACGGCGAGCTCCAACTCACAGGGACAAGCTTGTTTTCTTAAAATACACCTGAGAATGCAAGGAGAGCCAGCGACTTTTAGAAAACCAAATACCATCTTCCTTCTCAAAATTACAACCAAACTGTCCATTAAAGTCTAGCTCTATCGCCTGCACATGCATCAGCAGTAAGCACGCGCCTTTAGGAAACATCAGAAGACCACGGGCATGATCTTGGCGAAACAAAAAATGAAGGATGCTAGGAAAGGCGGGACAATCGTTACCTCACCACCCATAGTCGGAAGAACTCCAACATGGGGAATCGCGAAGGAGTCTAGATTTCCGGAGCGATTCACGCGAATGACTAGACACTGAAAACAGATCCGTGTTTGAAGCCTTCGTAGTGATGTATTAGTTTGGGTAATGTTCTAGCACACAATCTCTCCAGTCTCAGGTTCTTGGCCATGTTGAGGAAGGCCAGAACTA